CATAACATACATTTACGTCAATGGGCTAGACTAAATGTTGGCTCACGAATGCTGAACTTCTATAACATTGCTATTACGAACTTAGTAATACTGGGCGAGTGACATTGACTTACTAGTCAATGGCGGGTGAAATCTTTTATGTAAATTAAAAAAAACACCCTTGACATATAAAGGTTTTAATTTTCTTGAGATATCGAATTTTGCATAAACCATTGTTTTTTTAATTACTAGACACAAGTTAAATAACTAAAGTAAATAATAAATTTTCGTAATGCTTACTTAATCATAATTTTTTGATAAATAATAGTTCTCAAACTTTGCAAAATAAAGGAGCAATGATAAAAATAATAAAAAATTTGGAAACCTTCACTATCTGGATATCAGGATCTAGATAACATAAATATGTATAGCACCATCCAAATAAGATATCACCGAATGCAAATAAAAATAACTATTGCTTCTCTTTCAAGCTACATAAAGCATTCAATCGCATAAAAGAGACAGAGCATAATATTGACTGCAAACCACAGTTTTAAAATTCGTAAAACTCTGCTGCAAACGCTGTTATACTCGATTACGCTTGTTTTAATAAATAAGGCCGTGTTTGAATTAGTAGTTTTATGACAATCTTAGTAAGTTATAGGTAATGTTGGCACAAAATGCGTAAAAGAGTTTAATTCAAAGTAAATGCGAGACCGAATGAAATTCGCAGACACAGTCTTGTTCTTGCCCAAATCTTGCAGGGTCGGTCTTGGTCTTAGTCTTGCTACAATAGGTGGTATTGACCAAAGACCAAGACTGATTTTCGGCCACACTCACTAGCAGTAATCAATTCTAAAGCAGCACACATCTTTTAGCCAGCACGTTACAAGAACAACGGCTTAGAACTCAACAACCGCTACTGTGACAATGCTTCCGAGAAGATCCCACTGAAGAACTTGAGCAAGGTGCCAACATTTTCCATTGCGTCGCAGCTAGCCCTCGATGAAGACTTCTCTCTCTTTTTACCGAAACACCAGGAGATGGTTACGGAGGTCATGAATGTACTTATGAGTGAGTAAAAGTGTGTCGATTCATGCATTTGCTTCTGTTCCCTACATAGATGCTTGATCTAAAAATACTCAGAATTGTGTAAAGGGTTTGAATGTAGTACAACCATAGTCCACCCCCCAATAAAATTTCATAATATGTTTGCATTGTATACGAGTCTTGTTATTATATTTAGATCCTTGAACTTCTGTATTTGACAAATGTATGGTGGGCCGAAATTTTATATTGAAACGTAGACATCTCCATTCTGTGTCGCATATGACTACATTAATTTGCCGCGAATTAAGCAAAATAATACTGATTGAAATATCTACCTATTACAAGAGGAGATAAAATTAAAACAATAGAATATATAATAAAACATCTATTTTATTTAGAAAATTCCCACAAAATTTATTACAGCCTGTACATACACGTAGCATAAAAATCTCTCAAAAAGATAATATTTGTTACAGGTGTGCCTGAGAATCAGCCAAGTGACTTCCTTTCCACCTGTGCCTTCTGCAGGGTGCATCTAAACCCGCAGCTTTTCAACTATTGTCTCTCTGCCGCTTTGTTGCATAGGTATAATAATAATCCTTTCTTCAAATTAAGTATAAAAACTTAAGAAGATATTTAGCCTAGCCCTTACTCCCGTTCCGATGTAAAGTTACTTTAATATCACAATAGAATCACACTTCTTAAATTGGTAATACCGCTTACTAGTACGGTTTTGAAAATCATATTTTTTTTAAATAGAACTCATTTAGCCACTCGCCAGACAACTTACTTCATAAGCTACGCACTACTATTATTTTATATTTATGTATGTAACCATAGAGTACCCCGGAAGCGCAAAATAATTAAACATTTATCTACATTAATCATTTAGTAAACTGCTATCAGTGCATACACCTATTCCAATAGTTATGTTAACTACTTAAAACTACATGAAATTAAAATTGCATTAAGAATGTTTGCATATTATCAAGATCAATTTACAAAATGATCATTCACACAGCACTATTTCCTACCAGCCATTTCTCACTAATCGCGTGAGGCCTCCTAATGCGCGCACGTACATTACTTATTACATACAGATTTTTATAAATAACGAATTATTTTTTATCTCCAGACCAGATACGCGCAATGTGCCGATTCCCAATCTCGCAGAGACGTTTCCATTCAAATTCATGGACTCAGGGGTGTTCGCGCTGGCTCGCGAAACCTCACGAGTCTTGAACAGCGACGAGGTAATGTATATTTTTGTTTAATGTTACAAAAAATTTGATGTTTCGTATGTTTCATAGTTTGGGTTCCCAGCATCTTGATTTAATTATTTATGAGACCATTCAGTTACATCAATTATTATACACATAACAAAGACCTGGCCCAGCAGTGCGAGGTTAGTTTTCATTTGTTTCAGTAAATGAACTGCTTTCTTTTCTTGTCTATGAAAAAAATTTTTAATTTTTGACATAACGTCTCTATTTCTGGTTATATACTCGATGCAATGAGTATTTTATAGTGTCTCGGCTAATTACGTCAAAAATTTTATTTGTTTCTTTATATTTTCTGCATGAATATTACAATAAACGCTTAATGAACCACATATTAAATGTAAAATTAAAAAATAAAGCAAACCAATTGTATTAATTTTAATTTACAGTAAAAACCGTAATTTATCGGTTGACATGAAAGAAGACCTACACAGCTTTATTTGTAAGTCAATGTACACATCATTAATTCCAGTCGTTCACGAAAATTGTAATTAACAACGAAATTCGTGAGCCTGACCGAAAAAGAATTTACTAAAGTTATTGACGAAACTTCGTTTAAATATCGATCGTTAACGAAATTTCGTTTTCACGAAAGAGAGTAGACCTCCAGGACTTGAGTAAGATTTAAAGCACTAGAAATCATACTCAAGTCCTTGCCATTAGGGTCGTATTTCCAGTGCTTGAAATCATACTCAAGTCCTGACTCGAGCATTGAGTAGAGTCTGGAATACGACCCTCAATGTGGTTAAAAATATTTCCTAAATATTCAACAAAAAATTGTGAAATAATGATCTTTCAACATTTTTTCAATTTTATATTTTTGTTATAAGGCTCGTAGCACACATAGATCGTCAATGAACATGTGCGCCGCCGCCGTACAGAGTCGTAGTACGCCATACAAACTGTTTACATGCATCGGAATAACAGACTGGTCCGCACCCGGAACCTTGAGCACCCCGCACAATACTTCTTTTTCTTTGCTGTACCTGTCACCCACTTTCACCCTGTATATATTTCACGCGACGTGGGATAACCACAGAACAGACTTTTTCAGCGGCTCTACCACCCCACACTCCTCCATTGCATTTAACAAAGTATCTGTTTGAAGAGTTTCGAATTTCGTCAGTAAAATTTGATAACGAGATATTAAGTCCTACTCTTTCCTTTCTGAAAACCGTGTTGAAATTTATTTATAATGTTATGTTTTTGAAGAGAATCGTCAAAATGATTAACAACACATTTTTCTATAATTTGGTCAATGCTTGACAAGATAGCTATCTGACTATAATTGGTGTAATTTTTACGACTTCCTTTTTTATAAATGGAGCGTATTATGGCCTCTTTTAACTTATCAGGAAACTTATTATTACTCACAGATGCATTAACCAGCTTTGCGATTATTGGGGTATTCTGTCTACAATAGCTTTTAGGGCAGACATAAATACGAGTACACAGTTAACAGTACGAGGTCACAACCACTTGATTTATTTGAATTCATGGTTTTTATTGCTTTTTCAACATACTGATTTTTTACTGGTTGCCATCTCATGCACATGTCCGCCTTTTTTATTTAACTATCCCTTTTTTTGGTAATCCGGAAGAATCTGCTAAAACCTCGGCTCCGCGGGGGCAGAGCCGGGGTCATGTGGGACTGGACTAAACCCTGAGGAGGAGCAGCCCGACCGCACTAAGCCCCCGGAGTGTTCCTCCTCTCCGCTGTAGGTAGGGATACGGGTACGCTATTGCACTCGTCCGCCCCCCACCAGTGGCTGGCCGCTCCCTGCGCAATCCGTCCCCGAGAGTCTCCCTTCTCGGGGGCGGATTTCGCATCGGTCCCGCGACTCCGAATGTAAAGCTCGCCGAATACCAGACGAGCCCTCCATCCCGGGCCCCTCTTGCTGGGCAACGAATCCCCTACAGTCCGCTACTCAGGGGCCATGGAGGGCCAGGACAGCATCCACTCAACTGGAAAGTTCAGTGGCTGCTCCCCCAGCCCCCGCGGCGGATCAGTTGGCAGGCTCCGCCGCAACACCTAACGCGCATTCGCGGAAACTCTCCGAAGAGAATCCCTTAGAGCGCCCACCTCAAGGGACAACCGCCCAATTTCGGTCGCGGTGGTCTCTTCCCCCGCGGTCCCGCCGCCACTGCATCTACACCCTAAGACCGCAGACCCACCAGAGTCGCGGATGACAGGACGAGCGGCAACGACACACCGACACGTCTCTACCCCGCGACCCTTCTCCCAGCGCGCATCCGCGCGGTCCCGCTGACTAGACGAGCCCGCGCGGAACGCCCTCCTCCCGTGGCCGGCCCCGTGGGTTCTTCTTAACTTCACCATGGGATGAAAACGACGACGGCTACTAGACCCCCCGCTACGACAAGGCGGGAACCCCTTCGAAGGGGACATAACTATCCCTACTCAACCAGAGTAAAACTGTAATAGAGCGACCCGTCAACCCATGTTTATATAATAAACATACTGATTGGACAGTATTTAACCCTTAATTAGTCGCGCTAAAAAAGTTACGCAATTGGTCGCGAGGGATGTGCAACATCCCAAATGAGACTCATGAAATAAAATACAAAATACACATTTTATTAATGACAATATTTGAACACACTTATTTTCTACATTATAAATGTCCTTCTGACTGATTAAACATATTATTAATAAAAAAAACAACAACATTCGTAAAAGCTGAAGAAAATATTCTTCATCACAATTTTGGCAGACTAGAATTATGTGATCATTACATATATGTTTTAAACCTTTCGAACCATTGACCTACCAACAAATGGACATTGGGTCTAATACAAAAACCACGAAAGAAATGTCCGAGGTTAACCTATACAAACGTAGTGACATGTAACGAAATATAAAAAACTAAAACATTTAATTTAAATTGTAACTTAATTGCAGTACTGCCTAAATTTGCTTTCAACAATTTAAGGGCCCAAAAACACCATATTCAGCTTCTACTGGAAACTTAACAAAATGCACTATATTTAGCTTCGACTGAAAATTACTTGAACACAAGAGTAATGGAATGGCCTTTCTCGTAAATATTAATTATTTTTTTTATATACATTATTATGTCGAATTTTGTACAAATTCACTTAAAGAAGCTTAAAGGTATAATAAAGAGTTGGGCAGATACATACATACAATTATTATGTTCTGATTTTCTGTTGCCGGGTCCGCTGAAAATCAGCGTCGTAGCACCATAAGTGAGACGACAATAAGCTGAGTGGGTCACGGTTTCCTTGGCAGCCCAGCACACACGCGTTGTACTCTTCTATATATTTGTAGTTAGTACTATTTTTATTGTTATTATTACAAAATGCATGTGTACTGTGTTGTCTACTTAAGGAATAAATGTTTTCTATTCTTTCTATTCTATTCTATTACTACAAATGTGAAAATAAGCGTGTACTATAAGAAATGTACCGATATTCTAACTAAACGTAAACTAATATCCATAATTCCGATTAATAACAAAACCGTTACGCTTTCGAGTAATTTTGATGCTTTTTACATAGACAAAATTAGCTTTTGTTTTGTAATCTTCGTAAAAACACATTATGAAAATTCGGGCTAATGTTATTTCGGGCAAATGTATTTTATGACTTCTGATACTTAGAATAATAACGCATAGAAACCTAGCCCGCACACGCTAAGTGAGGCAAGTTAGAGGGTTCCAAACGCGTCCCAGGAGCGCGCGGGCTGTTAGTGCTCATGGTCATATTGCACCGCGAACAGCTCCAAAATTTTTTGCTAAAAATGACGAAATGTGCGGTAAATGGGTGTAAAAATACAACAGACAAACAAAATAGACACTAACATCGCATTCCACAAGTAAGTAATGCGTTTCAATTCATATTTTTATGTAAATATTCACTAAAACAGAAAAATAATTTCGCGGCAACAAGATACGAAAGTGTTGCAAAGTAACGAATTTTTTTTCTCCCCATTTTGCTATTCTGTATCAAAATAATTATATTACGTAAATTTTAGTGGTGCCTGTAATTTCGATTTATTTGCGCATTTTGAACTAATATTTACTCGAATAAACATTAAATGTTTTCGTTAACTCCTGTAAGTGATTGGGACACTTAATTATTTTATAATACTTTTAACGGCTCTGCGTTCATGCTTTATTGAATAATTATTTATATTAATTTTATTTGAGTTGGAGCACATATTGCAACAAATTTACAGTATATATTTGTTTCTACTATAGTGTTGGCACCACCAGTACAACTTTGATAGCTTATTATATGTCTTTCTTTTCGTAACTCAAGCGAAATATTTTATATTAAAATATTTTATTTTCTTAAAAGGGGAGCATTCTTAAGCGATTTTTTAATCTATTTTAACAGTTATTTTCTTTAATGTTTGCTTATGGCATTTTCGGTTTTAGGTTTCGAATATGGCACTTATTTCTAAATCCAAGATGGCGGGCGCGATTTTTCGAATAATGGCAAGTTGGGTATCGTTTTCGAGATGTTTGGGAATGTTCAATACAAATATGGGACTCATTTCTAAATCCAAGATGGCAAACACGACAGTTCAAACAAAAGCAATATTCGTAATGAGCACCCCCAAATACCTCGAAAACGATACCCAACTTGCCATTATTTGAAAAATCGTGCCCGCCATCTTGGATTTACAAATAGTGCCATATTCACATTGAGCATCCCCAAATACCTCGAAAATGATACCCACATAGCATTTTTTTGAAAAAATCGTGCCCGCCATCTTGGATTTACAAATGAGTGCCATATTCGTAATGAGCACCCCCAAGTACCTCGAAAATGATACCCATATTGCATTTATTTGAAAACTCGTGTCCGCCATCTTGGATTTAGAAATGAGTGCCATATTCG